AAGATAGAGTGTGAGAAAGGAGAGCTGGGAGAGAGGGAAACATTTACAGTAGAGCCGCTCTGCATGTAGGAGATATGAGTGTGAACAGCTGCCACTCCCAGCTCTGCCTCGCTTTCACTCTCTCACCCACTGTCCCTTTCCCATCCGCCCACCTCCTGTCCCCCTGCCCTCTCTCTCCAATCTTATTTCCTGTTGGCCTGTCTTCTATCTGAGTCTGCTCTGTGTCAGTGTATTAGACTAATTCAATCTCCAGTACACAGCCACTCCAATGTAATGACCCATGACATTCAATTAACGTTGTACCCCCTCCGCGATAGGTTGGGTCAGCAGTAATTTTATGTGCATGTGTGCGTTTGTCTGGAGGGTATCCATGAATCCTCGTGTGGTTGCATGATTTGAAAAGGATTGCAGTCAGTGTGACCTTACTTGATCATCACATGCTGCATCTATCTAATAAGAAATCTCTGTCTGCCTATCTGTATGAAGTGGTCATATCTTGAGAACAGCTGATCTTACCGGGTTCATGCTTGGCATGAGTATTGTTAAGGGCCCAAGGAAGTGCACTGTGGAATTTGGTGCAATTGGGATGTGCAATATGTTCAATATTGATAAACTCCAGCATCAGGTTTTTATTCGCTGGGGCTAAATTACTGCAGATCAATTTTAAAGTTTCTGGAAGAAAACTGCAACCAGCATCAGCACAGGCCAAGTAAACACACACTCAGGTTTAGAACAGCTTCTGCACCAGTTTGTGACGATGTTAATGTCTACGGTTGTAACCTTTCCCCAACATGGTGTTCTTCCACATTATTAAATCCATTGCCAAGCACTGAGTTGATTTCCCGGGTTATAACCCCCTGAAGAAGAAAAAAACAACATTGCTGTGGTTGTGTTTTGATGACATATAAAAACCCCTGGCTGTCAGGAGCACCTTATTTACTGTACTATCATTACTCCTGTCCTCCGGGCTTCATGTTACCTATGTTACAGCCTCTCAGCAGCTGTCACACTTATTGGATTGGTGGTGAGAGATTGTTGCACGTCGCGCAGGCTGCACATTGTGTGCATGTGTTTACCTCGGGCCATGTTTGCCGTTCAAAAATACATTGACTCAACCAGGCTCACATAGTAAAATACGTACTGTAAGCAATGTACATGCACATAAACAAACAGGGCCAAAGAGAGCCACTAAATTGGAAATTGTTGCTGACACGTGACCACCTGTGGTTCCTTTTAGCCTTGTGTAGCCTCGTAGTAAATACAACCTCTTTGGATTAACGTAGCGTTTACAAGCTTATAACTCATTGTCATTATTTCTGAAATTCAGCGCAGCTCATGCATCATCCCCAGGCACTTCTGATATTCAAGCACCAACCTAACCTGGATAATCTACCAGTTGCAAAGCTGTAGTAACCGTATCTGCACGTACAAACTCATGCACTCTGTTCACAGACTGATATTATGGTTGATGATTTATGCCAATCATGTATATTTCCCTGCTGAAGCTCAACATGATAAACCTCTGTTGCTCCGAGGCCTTCATTAGCCACACGCTCATTACAAGTGACTTTAATTAAAAGAAGAATCTTTAAAGAAATCCTCACAACTAACACTGTGGGGAAGGTCAGGTATAGACTCGCTCTCATTAATGAAACTCCTCGCTGTTCTGTCAAGTCACCGACTGTTACTGTGGCGCTTTTTTTTTTCTCTCCGCAGCATCATCTTTCCTGCTTCTTCTGTCAGCGCTCATCTCTCCCTGTCACATCCATCTGCCACTTTTAAGCTTTTATTCTCCATCTTGTCCTCTTGTCTCTTTTCCCTCCTCCTTCTCTCTGTCCGCCCTCCATCCTACCTCTGTCTCTGAGTTTCAGTAATGATCTAATTAAGGAGGGTTTTGTTGCCTGCCCACTGTGTATAATTGCCAGCGGGCGCTGGCTATACTTCACTCAGCAATTACGAGCAGCATTCCTCTGTTCCCAAATCTGCTAATTAAGCCTTAAGGACAGCGAGCCGATCACAGTCGCATTGAGCTTCAGGAGGAGTCAGGAATGCCCCGTGCTCTCTTCACTCCCGGGTGTGCACAAGTAGCGGATGGAAGAGCGGTTGCCATGGTAGCAATCACACGGTGTCAGATCCTGTGCCGTGGCTGTCAGTCTGTTGATTCACGTGCCTCCCTACGTGTGTGTATCTGTTCATCTGTAACAACAATTCAGCCCCAGGTCGCCTCGTCTTTTCATTATTACATCACAGTCTATGAAGACGGGACGGACACCAAATAGAGCTTGTCACAGTTCCCGTTTAGGTCCTCGAGTGGACATGCTGTCATTTTGATTGATTACATCGCCAGCGTGTGTAATGCTTGCCTTGCAGTGTGTCTGCTCTGCAACACAACACACAGCTTAACACGTGGCTACTCCAAACTACTGTAAAACTGTTCTGTGTCCAACACACAACAACACAAAACATATTTCTGGATATAAACAATGGCAATGGATGCAGCACAATACAATTTTACAGTTAAAGGAGACTATTTTTAATTGAGTAGTATGGTATAGTATAGTGTATAGTATAGTAGTATATTTTCATCTGTGTTTTTCTGCTAATTAGCAGCATTACACAAACATTATTGTGCATATTTGCACAAAACTTGGTGGAAACTTTGTGGGATAGTGTGTTTTCTTGCCAGTTGACCAGCGACTACTACAGACAGATATCTTACATTTTACACAAAGTCTGTGGTAAAGAAAGCTCCTCTAACCCACAGAAATCACTGCTCCTGAAGCTCCTGAAACGCCTTGTCCACATTATCGTGATGCCCACATTTGCATAATTTAGGCCTAGCAGCGAGTCTGGAGGCCGACATTTCCTTCATGCACTTAAAGAGGTTGACCAATCACAACAGAGTGGGACAGCTGACCAATCAGAGCCTGGGCTTTATCAGGGGGGGAGTCCTTAAAGACACAGGAGTCTAAAACATTAGATTCATGTAAACCTTTTCAAGTAAAAAGCCCAAATTAAAATGATCAACCTGAATATGAGCTGAATACGTCCCTTTTCGAATCAACTGCAGCGTTGGGTCTGACATACATTATGTAACAGAGTGGTGAAATATCAGTTGGTTCGTTAGTTGAGAACTGTCTGAGCTGCTACAGAGGAAGTGCCAATTGTTTTTCTGAGCACTGAGACGTTTTATGCATTTTTCAGCATCGCATACTTGTTTTAGATTAATGCAACATGGAGGTGTTCACATCCTTTCTGCAGATCAAAGCAGCCGTTTCAAAAGGGAAAACTGCCTCTCGAGAGACAGTGTTTTTGTTTTCCTACAAGGCCTTTATCTTCTTTGAGTGTAAAAATGAAACTGAAGTGACATATGAGGGAACACCGTTGAAGCAAAATGGTTTTAACAGTTTCATTATTTCATTCTTTGCATCAGTTATAACATCTGCACTAACTTGTACCCCAGGGGTATGATAAAATACAATGCATGTACTACACATACTGTTGTGTAGCGCCTACAAAACTGGCTTAAAAAAAAGTTAAACTGCCTGAAACCTACTTCACATGTTGAAGTTTGAACTCCACCACTTAATAAACCACAGCTGCAGGCACTTGCACGTTTGTCCCTTATGCAGCAGATATTTTCTCCAGTGACACAAATTTGCATGGAAATTGCGTGAATAATGTGCAGCTATTTGCTAAATAGCCTTAGAATTGATATTTGGCATTAAGAGCATACACAGAAAGCGTTCATTTAATATGGATTTGAACTGGGCAGCTCACTCAAAGCTGGGCGAATTGCCTGGATTTTATTATTAGTATTGGATATTTTATTAGGAAGCTTTACATAAGCCCTTAAAGGTATTGGCGCCCCACGCTGAATTGTTTTCCATCTCACTTAACTCCGCTCTGCAGAAAGCTCATTGTGAAAAATGGACAAACAGCTCTGGTTTCTTGGCTTCTCCAACTGTAACAAATGGTCCCAAAGTGCCACCAAATGGAACATGCTCCCTTCCTGTGGGACAGACCCGGGCTGTGCTGACATTAAATGGCTTTAAAGGGTCTGACTTCAGCAAGGCAAATGAAATTCAGTTAATGGATATATTGGCATTTTCTTTTCCTTAGTTTTTCTTTTAATATTTCCTGTCACTGGAATTAATTTAATACAGCAACTGTATCCTCTGTAGAGTCGCTGCTACTGCACAATAATTAACTGCATATTGACCCTTTTATTACATTTGAGGTGTAAGCTGTATATGAGCTGAATAAAGCAAATACTCACCACACAGCTGGAGTGTGAACACTTCTGTCATACTATATATACTATACTATATACTGTATATACTATATACTGAACAATTCTAATGCAACTCTCATAAAAAAATTGCTGTTTTCTTATGTCATTAACAATCATTGCACATTTAGAATCTAAAATGTTTTCTTAAAAACCATTGTACATGTCTTAGGTTACATTGGCCTTAAGTCCAAGTTTATTTTCCTTCCTGGCAGCCGAGCCAAGGATCCTCTTGATTATTTTATCTCAGTGAGATAAATATTTGTTCTCTTGTTATATGAATCTGATGACTGTTTCAGATGCTGTAATAACACAAGGACATATTAAGTAGGTTTTGGAGAACATGTACGAACAGGTTTTTGTTTACATTTGTTTGTTTGTTAACATGATTACCAAAGGAAGAACCCAATAAATGTTGGTGCAGATCCGGATCAGGGAGATTAACTAATGGCTCATGATGAAAAAGATCTGGTGTGTTTAGGGGAGTGATATCTATCAGATCCAGATATAGTGAATTTAAATGTGGTCTCATTAGAGGACTGTTGGCAGAGGTATGTGCGCTAATGAGTGCCATTCTAGTTATGTATGGTTGAGGCTCCATAGTTTTCTGCAGCCTTAAGGACAACATATGTTTCATTCTCCAGTAAAACTGAAGTAGATGACAATATTTCACTTTCTAACATCGCTCCCTCATCTCTGTTTCCTCCAGGCTGGCAGCTCCAACTGTAGCAAACACAAGTCGATGACTGAGAACTCCGCCTCCCACGATGGACAAGAAAAGTGGTGCGTGTCACTGAGATTTAAATAAACAATTATCTTGCTTTTAACTGGCTGTGTCACAAATCTGATATGTCACATGTTTCCACAAGTGTAACAACAATTAGTTTGTCTCGATTACATAATGCAACAGTTGTGAGTTACATATTTAACTTCCTGTTCCTGTAGGCAGCACAAAGAGTGTATTTCCTTCAGGTGATAGCTCTCCCCTGTCTCATACTGTATTCATAAGTTGACACAGGGAGAGCAGCAATTTGCATGCTGATTAGTCTGTTTTGGCGTGATCACTGCAGGATAATTACTTTCCCAGTAAGTGATATGATATGGTTTTGCATAATGAAGCACCATGTGTGCTGCACAGTACAACCTGACAGAACAAATGGATGAAAAGGAATAACATTGTAGACGATAATGTGTGATATGGGTTGTTTGTCAAACAAATGCACACATGAATCCAGTTTTTGATTTCAGTTATTAATATTATTGCTCCTGTTATTTTGCTTTGTGGGAGAAGGAGCGTTGATTAATTGACAGATTTTTATTTTTATTTTTTACAGCCAACGGCTTTCAGACCAAGGCTAGTGAGGGCGGTGTTCAGAGGAAGCAGTTGCCCTACTCAGTGGAGACTCCCTATGGCTTCCATCTGGACCTGGACTTCCTCAAGTATGTTGATGATATCGAAAAGGGCAACACCATCAAAAGGGTCCACATCCAGCGCAGGGTCAAGGGCCCACCCAAATTTAGCACACTACCAAGAAATTTCAGTCTCCCCGGGCATGGAGCCAGACCTGCCTCCAAGGAAAAGGATAGCACATGGTCTGGGACATCCACCTTGGGGCCAAAGCCTAAATCACGAGTGACAGAGGTCCAACAAATCTTTGACTTCAGAGCAAATGAAGGGGGGACTTCCATCCAGAGCAACAGGGGGACAACCAGTCTGGGAAGTGGTTATGTTGCAGCTAAGCCCAGGGATGAAACAGGCATTGGGGCTCGAGGTGTTGAAGAGAAAACTGTGGGGATTCAAAGTCGGCCAAACCTGCTCCGAGCATCAAGCATGCCGGTCACTCTACAGCAGCGGAAAGGCTCTGATTCAAGCAGTCCGGATCGTATTGTGGGAACACCAGAGAACGGCTCAACAGAAAACATGTTCCGTGCTTCACCGGATGTAACCGAGAGACGCGTACCCCAGGATCGAACAGGGCTTCACCAGCAGATCACAGTGGCACTGAAGCGAGTCAGGGAGCTCGAAGAACAAGTTAAAACCATCCCGGAGCTTAAGGCTCAGATCTGCTCACTGAGGGAGGAAAGGGAGCGGCTATTGTTAGAGCTCCAAGCCCAGACTAAAGCACAGATTTCCACATCACTCTCTACAACAGCCACTGATGCTGGGTCACATACTCAGCCAGTAGCACACAGATCCTCAGAAGGGCTCAGTTTAGCTCCGACGATTCAACCTGCTGGAGTGACAGAGAAAAGCAGAGTTTTACAAAAAGAGGAGAGGGCCTCAGCACATGGAAAAATGGGCGAGTTGTCAGCACAAGAATCAGAGAGACTATCACAGCTGTCAGAAAAATCAGACAAACCAAAAGAAGCAATAGAGAGTCCACTGGAGCATGCAGCACACAAGCTATCACAGGACATAGCAGGGCAGGAATTAACATCATGTAGAGAAGCTATTAAAGACGCAGGGACAAGCAGCAGTCAAGCTGCGGAAATACTAAGAAAACCTGAGGAACCAGACAGTGTGCAGACGCTGCAGGAGAAGCTAATGATACTAGAGGATAAACTAACTCAGGCCAGCCAAGAGCTGGAGAAAACGAATAGTCTTTTAAAAGAACAAATAGAGGACAACATGGTAAAAGAGGAGAAAATTCTACAACTGAGTGAGGGAGTGAGAGTGGAGATTTGTACTCCAGAAGCACACAGCAGGTCAAGAAGAGAGAGCATCGACACAGGAACGGTGACAGAGAGAATAGATTTTGCGAACCAAGAGACGGAGACAGAATCAGTTGGTACAGTAGATCAGGGTACAGATACTGATAAAATCTGTGTTGAAGTATGCGTACCAAAAGCAAGTATTGATCAAGTAACGGCCACTCAGGTCGAAAAACAAGACCAGGTCACAGAGATGGAGGCAGAGGTATCTGCAACGAGCCCACCAAGACCCAGAGCCAACAGCATGGAACGGGGCACGGTTACTGAGAGGATCGCCACTCAAGACCAGACGACTGAGACGCCAGTGGCTGAGAGGGTTAACCAAGTCACAGAGACAGAGAGAGAGACAGTGACAGACCATCCACAGAGACCGAGAGCCAGAAGTGCAGATCGAGGGACAGAGACAGAGAGGGTGGACACTGTAGACAGGGTTACAGAGACAGAGGTAGCACAGAGGACCGACCAGGTGACAGAGACAGAGACAGAGACAGAAAGACGACCAGAGAACAATCCAGCCAGAGGTGCAGAAGCAGAGAGTCCAGGAATAGAAAGCACAAGCAGTGAAAGAGTAGAGGAAGTTGACACTGTGGTCAGTGAAAACATGGATGACCAGGAAGAAAACAGAAGAATTCAAAGAGTTAGTGAAAGTGTGGTAATGCAAGCCATCACAGAGACTTCAGTTGCTGTTCAAGAAAGCGCAGTTGAACAGATTATAGCTTCGGACATTGTCAGCCAGAATGAAGAGCGTACCAGTCTAACTGCTTCAACAGAAGAAGGTAAAGAATCTACGACTGAAACAAGTATGACTGCACAGAAAGACTCAGTAACTGAAGACATTACAGAAACAAAGAGTGTAGTGACAGAAACTGTTGAAACGAAGCAGATCGCCATGGAGAGTAAAGAGAAGAAAGAAACCGGAGAGGATGAGATTGTGTGTGTGACAGTCAAGGACACTGTGGTCACTGACATGGTCGTAACGGCAGCAGAGGATGCAGCTGTGAAGACAGTAGCTCCTGTCAGACCTCAGCGAGGCCGGAAGTCCTCAGCAGAGCAGGCACAGCCGACACCTCCTCAAGCTCAGGCTGCACCTGTGCGTCCTCGCAGAGGATCCAGCGAAGTTCAAGCCAAGCAGCCCCAGACAAAGCCCCAGCCCCAGGCACAAGTACAGGATGTACCTCAACTTGAGGCTCAATCTTCAACACAGCTCTCAGAACAGCAGGTAAAAGATAAAGCCATGTCTGTGTCTAAGGTTGAGGACAAGGGCCAAGCAAAGAGGCCTTCTGAAGAGTCTGCCGAGGAAAAACCTCCATCAAAACCTCAGGCTGACACTCGGGGTCCGTCTCCTGGCTCCAGTGGAGTCCAAACTCGTCCAAAATCAATTCAGGCCCAGTCTCACTCTCAAACCTCTGCAGCTAGACGGGGCTCAAAAGAGCTCAAAGCACAACAGAGGGGGTCCAGTGTGTCACAGCCTCCAAGTCGTGGATCAGAAGCCCAAACCCGCGTGACTCGTCAGGGGTCAAGCGATTTGCAAAGTCAGTCTCAGGGCTCCCGTAAAGGTTCCAGTGAGACTCAGCCGGCCTCTCACAAAGATGCCGGTGAGACACAATCCCTCCGCAGAGGCTCCAGTGAAACAGCTCAGCGACGTGGTTCAACCGAAGCCCAGGCCTCTCGTCGGGACTCCGGTGAGGCCCAACCTCCTCGCAGAGGATCGAGCGAGTCTCCGACCTCGCCCGCGGCTTTGGGCCAAGTCGTGACCCGGTTAACAGGGCTTCTGGGGGAGCAGTGGGCACAACTGGGGAGCAGCTCTGGAGCTCAACAGACAGCCAGCCAGCAGGAGAGCCCGAGCACACAGAAACAGACAGCAGGGAAAAGAGCAGAGGCAGGAAAAGGAGCAGCAGCCAAGCCTGCGGGGAAAGCAGTCCCTGCAGCAACAACGGGGAAATCAACAGGGAAACCGGGAGGGAAACCAGCGGGGAAACCCGGTCCTTCCAAAATGAGCTCCATTCAGAGTCAACTGGTCAGCTCCCTCAGTGTCCTCTCTGCCTTCTACTCACCAGCACAGAAAGCTGCTGCAGCCAACAAACAGCAAGAACAAGGTAGGCCCATGGTTTATACCATGTGCACAACTATTCATCAGTTTGTCACATACCTGCATGAGTATTTGTAATACACCCAATCACTGAAATACACTGAATCCTTTCCACTACATTCATCGATCCTTTCACAGCTCCTGTTCTCTTTAGCCTTGAATTTGAATTTCCCCACCACTCACTCCCTTGAATAGGACGACCTACAGCCAGACATCGGCAGAGTGGCTGGACAGGTTTCCACGGTGTCACTTAGCTCATAGCCTCTCATATCAGCACTCTTTTCAGCTGACGTAAGATACACACTGCTACTATCAAACTGAAAACAAGGTGCTGTATTTACAGTCGGTCCTGTCGTCTTGGTGACTGTGGTTTTCTCTCCAGTGGGATTTATCTGTTAAAACTGTATCATGACATGCTTTTGATTATCAGTGCTGTTAGAACAGTGCACGTCTATGCAACACATGTTGTTTGAAAGAAACAGGAAACACACAAATACACAGGTTACTTAGCACTGGGGTAATTATTTGGTTTCAAGTGTGTATGTCTTACTTCACACTCTACAGACAAACACACACACACACACAGTCTCAGACAGGGGAGTGCACACACGTGCGTACAAGCACTTACTTACAGAACACAGTTGAATGGAGACAACCACAGGCCCTCCATATCTATCTCTCTCACACACACACACACACACACACACACACACACACACAGATACACACACACACACACACACGCACACACATCAAACAGGCTATGCTTCTCTTCTATCCCTTGATGTTTCACTGTTCCGTTTCTGGCCCAGGAGCTGAATCACTCACACACTATCACACACATATTTTATATTCACAGTTCAGTTTAAGTTCAGTGATGGGAGTTCAGTATACAGTGGTGCTTCTAAGTGCATTGTGTGTGTGTGGGTGTGTGTGTGTGTGTGCGTGCGCGTTGTCACTGTTTCTTTGGGGTCACTGTCTACATCTTTGACGTCTGACATTCTCAGCGTGACTTCTCTGACCTCAAATGAAACCAGTGTTCAGCTCCCACGTGTATTGGAGACATAAACCACTGCTGTCCCACTGAGAGCTCTTAATTCCTCCTCTTCACCAGAGACTGGAGATTTGCATGGATGAGTGGTGTGTTATCTCCGACGAAGAGAAGGTTAAATCACAGCATTGTTTTATTTATTAGACGTTAGTAGGAGGTTGTATTCAAATGCCAAATGTAATCATAACCTCCCCTCTCCCCTGCTGCCTGCTGTTAACTCCTGGGAGTTACACGAGCTAAAAGCATCATACTCCTCAGACGGTGGTCTCTGGGATCTTTTCTTTTTTTGGGGCTGGAAGCCACACCCTTATATCCTTGCATAAAACATAACAGAGCCTCTGCATCATGTCTGCTGTCAGGCACAATGTGGACAGCCTTTCCAGGCTGAGAGCCAGGAGGAGTCAGCGAAAGAGCCCATGTAGGATCAATTATTGCACAGTTACATACATAAGCAGACCTGACAATGTCAAGGTTTGTCAATAATCCTGACCGACTGTTGCACTGTGCTACGTTTGTACACCTACAATTGTCTATAATTTGCTCACTACTCATAGCTAACTAATTGTCATTTTATTATATTTGCACAATTACTAAAAATAAATTAGGAATAAATAATATTAGTGTCTTCATGGCAACTATCTTTTTAATTACAGTATTATTTTAATTTACAGAAGAGTTGAATCCACCAGTGTCTTTATAAAGTGCTGGGCCACCAGCGTAGCTTTACTTCCACAAATCCACTAAAGGTGTTCGATTGGATTTAGCTTTCAAGGTCTTATCATATGATTCATGGGATTTTAATATTTCTCAAACCATTCAGGAACCCCTCATGTCCTTTCTTCACTAATTTGTTCATGTTCATCATTTGCTTTTGCTCATGTTGTCATGTGTACAATATAAACGTATTTTTGAAGTATTACAGTGCTTTTATATATTATGTTTCTAGTCTTAACGACCACTCAAGGTGCGCATTCACCCATTCAGTGTCTTGCCAAAAGCACACTTTGAAACTGGAGGAACTGGGGGATCACACCGCCGACCTTCTTGTGGACGATCCTCTTAACCACTATACTAACTATACACTATTATTTCTACTTATGTAAACTATTTATGCATTCATCTAGCAATGGCATGAGGTCTCCAACATTCAATTAAATTACTTCAATGTATATATATATTGTATAGTATGCAAGTATGCATTATATATGATATATCATATAGGTACATTACGATACAACATAAACACCAAAGTCAGCACAAGCTTAATGGATCCCCCCCCCCCCCTCACTTCTTTCTGTCTCTTTCTCTGTGTCGTCTTCTTCACCAGGTCTCAAATCTATCATGAAGAAAAATGGAGTCGCTGACAAGCAGGGCAACAAGGGAGCCAAGAAAAACCTGAAGTTTGTTGGAGTGAATGGAGGGTAAAATATTTGATCTTTAATCAATGATGTGTGTGTGTCTGTGCATGTTTTGTTGCTCTTAAATCAACAGGAGACTGTGAACATAATAGCACCATGATTAAAGACAATATTCAGTTTTCTTCAAATTTAATTCCAAAATTCTTCAAAGACAAAAGATTGTTTTTTCTTTTCTGACTTGTCAGGTGTGTAGTGGTTTCAGTCGGATTAGCCTGATAATAAAATAGACGATTTCGTGTGTTCACTTTTCTAATTCTATCTAATCACGTATTTCTTTTTGGTTTTTCGCAAAAGTCGTGACTGGGTGGTATTACCTCCTGCGTATGAAGGAAACGGCTCCCATTAGAACATTTGTTTTATTCCTGCCCTTGCATTCCTGACCTACACTGTTTAATGACCTACTTGCCTTCGCTTTGTTTTTTCAGAGCCGTCTTGTGTTGAGGTCTATTCCTTCCTCCCTGTCTGAGAATCAAACATTCTCCAGAGCAAATAACTAATTATAAGCGCTATTACACAGATCTGCCAGAGGACAAACCACACCTCATTCGTCTCTTCTAAACTCTGTTATGGGAATTATATACAGTGTCGACTCAAATCCAAACTAAATCTAACAAATGATAGATACAATGAGGAAAAATATGTTGGACAACAATATTTCAATATTTTCTCAGACTATCTTTAGTCTCTCGCCCACACCAGGAAGCGAGCTGCTGTTTGCCTTTCTTCTCTTTTGGATGGTCTAACCTATCTCTCTTCTCCCTTGAGCTCCTCTGGAATCCAGGGAATGTTGTGGCCTCTTGTGGTGTGTGTGTGTCTGTGTGTGTCTATGTGTGCATCTACAAATAAGCATGAATCAGTGGCATTCAGTATAAGACGTATCTGATTGGCCTCAGAGAGGTACCTTCATAATACACCCCAGTGATCACCTTCCCTCAAACTCCCACACACACACACACACACACACACACACGTTAATCTCCACATCTCTAAATATATCTCCAGTTGTCCCTCACTGAACAAGGTTGTGTTTTGTTAAAGGCTTCATATGTGCGTGTGCAAACATACCTATGGATTTCTATATGTTCAACTGTTTGAAGGATGTTTTGGTTATTTGGGCCAAGGCTGCATTAAACAAGCGTCTCCTTCATGTAATGTCGAAGGTCACGAGGGGAGTAACCTGTTAGTATTTATGTAGCCTTGGCCAAAGTTTATTTTACTTCTTTCATATTTGTTTAAGCTGGGTAGGTGTTTCATTGATGTGGCCGCTTGTGTGAGTATCAGATTTGTATACACGTATTTATTTTTAGTGAGGGAATATTAGGTGAACCTTCCAAAGGTCATCTTAAACATCTAAATTCGGTTTGGCACTTTTTGAATGTCATCAAGATTTTAAATGTTGCAAAAGGCCCTTTCGACCTATATACCCACATACTGAAATCTGGATCTGCACCAACATGATATGAGTTCCACAAACTTTAATCGAAACATTAATTTTGGCAAAAAACCTAATGATGATTTTCTTGTCTGTGCTTAAATTTGGGTCCTCTTCCAGCTATGAGACGACATCCAGCGAAGAGTCCAGTGGAGACGAGAAGTCGAAGGTGGAAGTGGAGGTGGAGGAGGAGGAAGACAGCTCAGAGCCAGAGGTAGAGAAGGAGAAAGAGAAGGAGAAAGAAAAGAAGAATGAGAAAGAGAAGGAGCCAGAAACAGCAGAGAAGCCTGGGGAGGTGGCAGAGACCCAGGGAAAGGAGGCAGAGGTCCAAGCTGAGGGAGGAGGTGCTGTGGCTGGAGAGGAGCAGAGTGAAAGAGGCCTGATGGATCCACAGAGCAGCCAGGAGCTCCAGGAGGAACTGGCTGAGCGGTGAGTCAGAGCCTTAATTATAGTGATGTATTAAGTGGTGTCACTGTCGCCAGCAGTCAAGGCTACACTATACCTTATAGTGCGTCTCTACAGAAATGCTGCTGCTGTACTCTTTGGTTATAGAGATACTGACGTCAGGTAAACTACTGAGAGGGAAGAGTGATTGAAGCAAGTTAAGAAGAAGGAGGTTCAGTTATTGGGTGCGTTTTTTATATCTTCACTGGTTTGTAGTCAGGTTTGATTTTTCTCAGGTAACTGCCTCAGTGTCAAAGTTTCCAGAGCTTAATAATTTATCTTATAGTATTACAGTTAGAACACACATAACTAAGAGGTGTTACTACATTTAATAAACCAACTAGAGTCTCAACAAATTACACACACTCATAGATATCAGCTAAATGTGCCAACAATTCCCTGAGCTCTCTCTCTGAGGCTTCTTCCCGGGCACAGACTGCATCGTTCCACCAGGTTTCATGATAATCTGTCCAGTATTTTCTGCATAGTCTTGATCACTAACTGACAAACAAACATAACATCCTTGGCGGAGGTAACCAGCAGCAGAGTTCTGAATGGTTTCCACCTAATGGAGATTTTAAGAACAGATTTGTTGTGTCTGATATTTAAATATGTTTGATGACAGGGTCATGTGTGAAGTTATTCTCATCTCTCATTACGACATTACGAAGAGCAAATGGTAAATTATTACATAATAACCTGTATCATGGTATGATCTTTTATTTATCTTCTGCTGTGTCTTTAGATTAATGTTGGTCCTAAGATCTCATAAAATGACATAGATGCATTACCACCTACAGCTGGACTGATGTGGTCCAGTGGACTGTGGCAAACTGTGGGATACATACTGTATGCCTCTGAATATTGCATCAGAGTGATATTAAGAAAAGTGTTTAACCAGTGTAGGTTGGGTCGTTAAGTAAATGACAGACTATAAACTCATTTACTTTGTGCAATATAATTAAAACACAACAGGCTCCCTGTACGACCGACTTTAAAGATCTCGGTGATGTCGGGTAGGAACAAGCCAGTGCTTTGTTTTGTGTCCAGCTGCTGCCGAGATACTTTGACAGATGCTGATTGACGCTTCAATATACAGTGAACCTCACACACACACACACACACACACACACACACACACACACACACGCACACGCACGCACACACACACACACACACACACACACAAAATCCATTTACCACACACTCATACCATACATTTCTCTGCAGCCCTGCTTACCTCTTAATATGTTGCACAGACT